TTTTCAAAAATCTCATTTGGCTAGTAGACTTCTACATGATACAATCATATCGATGAATATTAAAGATGAATCATTGGAAACATATAGTGAAACATGTTGAGTATCTATTTATGATACAGCAACTTCTATCATATGTGTTAGGTTTGCAATTGATAAGGTTTATAAATTAATATAATATATTTGAGTACTATCAACCCATTTCATTAATGGTGTAAAATTTTTTTTTTTTTTTTTTAAATTGTTGAAGAGAACCTGGATGTATTTACTAATCAAGAAGTGTTTCAGACGACCATGATACTTTTTATGTATCATGCAAAAGAATTTTTTTAATTTTTGAGCCAATTAAACAAGTGATCCATTTGCTTGAAAGTCATATAACAAACCTAGCTGATTGTTTTATAGGAATAGTACAAATAGCTGCTTCTCTCAAAAGAATACTTATCAGTAATAACTTTCATACCTCAGCTATTAAAGCATTCAATTCTTACTATAAGCAATTCAACATTTTTCCATATCTTCTAACTTACTTTTTCATCCAAATTACTGAAATAAGGGCCTAAAAATAGGAAATTTTTATAAAATTTGTGAATTGGCAGTTGATTACAATAAAGGCATGCATCATAATGATAAAGAATGTTATAGATTAATGAATCATCTTATCAAATATAAAGCTAGAGTCAAGCCTTGGAATCTTAAGTACTCTTCTAAGTTAACACCTTTTACCTAGTAAAATGTTGTTGAAGATGAACACACAAACTTGCAAGACCTAGCTAAGACTATGTTCGCTATCGTTTCTTCACAAGCCAATTGTGAGTGAAACTTCTCTATTTTAAAATAGTTTACTGAAGGACATCATACATGACTTCAAGTTCCATGATTAGAAAGCATGGCACAACTCCACTCTTTCTATATATTAAATGTTGAAAAAGAATTAAAATTTTGTGATGAAATTGTAGAAATGGAATTACATAATAGTGCATTAAATGAAACAAACTTCGCAGAAGTGGATAATCTTGATTCAAATAAATGAAGAGAGAAAGAAAATAAAATGGATATTGAGAACTCAACTGCAAATAATATTACTATGGCACTTCAAGCTTTAGTAGACTTATCAGATCCAATGTTTGAAAGGAATAATAACCAAGGGGAAACTCAAGAAGAAGCTGTTTTGACTAATAAAAAACCAAGTATGGAATTTAAAAGTAAGTCATTAGTTCAGGAAATATTGAATGAAGATGACATATATGACTAATTAATTATAAAAGCAAAAGCTTTTTTCATTCAAAATGAAATGTAATATCTTTGAATCATAAATAATAAATCTTTTTGACTAAGTTCTGCAAAATTCAAGATGTTCAAGTATAAGTTTAATAAATTTAAAATTTAAAAATTAATCCTTATCATTATTAATTATCTGTAACATATGATTATTCAATTTGTAATACTGTAATGAATTATTATCAAAACCTGCTTTTAGATAATCTAAAAAATTTATTACTGTTATTAATTTAAATATATACAAACTCGACCTTAAACTACATATTGTGTATTACTGCAATTGGGTAAGTAAAAAAAGTATGACTATTGTCCTGTTTAAATTTATTGTAGCATGGTACAAAAAAAGCTTTTAATCATATGCTAAATTAATACAATACAGGTGGTTAAATACAATAGAACAAGTTCCAAACCTGATTTTTACATATAAAAGTTTGGGATTTTAGTCATAATATAGGATACATGTTAAAAGTATTTGATATTACAACAAATTAGAGGTATTTTTTCAAAACTAGTAAATACTGTTTGGGTTTCTACCTAATCCCAAACTAGTGAGTTTGGGGCACAACCCTAGTTGAGACATTATTATTGTTATTATTATTATTGGAGTTGTTGTTGATATTGTTGAGATTGTTATAAAAATTTTACAAAAAAAAAAAAGGAGTGACAAAAGGATTATAATTTTTAATAAACAATAATAAAACAAAATTAGATATTAATGAGAAGTTAATTTACCAAATTTAGAAATCAATTAGAAATTGATTTAACAAATTTAGAATAGTTAAGAT